ATTCTTTATAACGTCGCGCTTTAACTCCTCTCCATGCATAAATCTATCGAAAATTGACCCTTCGTTAGCGGCTTAATTAACGGGGTATAAGCAACGCTGGATGGAACGCGGAACGCGCGATCAAGTAATCGAGATTTATTCCCTCATTCACCCGCATTTTTTTCATTCCGATCCATTGCCGATTCTTCTTCCTCCTCCTCCTCCTCCTCTTCTTCTCCTTCTCCTTTCTTCCTTCTTCGAGTATCGTGTAATGCTCGTATCTGAATCTTATTATTCTTACCGCTCCCTTAAAAAAGAAAAAATTCTCCTTCTCGCTCGACATTCCTCCCGAATTATCGTGGCGGATCGTTGGTTGGGATCGTACGATCGATTCGATAATTTTCGCCCCTCGATCGGGCTGAAAGAGAGAGAGAGAGAGGAAGGTAGCCAAGCGAAGCAAAGCCGATACTCGAGTATACATGCATATATACTTGCGTGACTCGCAAGAAAGGTCGGATTAAGCTCTTTTCCTTGCCACGCTCTCGAACGTATTCCATTGAAGCTTACGCCAGTGGCGTCGCCTCCCCCCAACCCGTCTCTATATACCCCGTCGCCCTGCAGTTAATGTGTTCCAGGGTGGAACCCAGCCCCCCTTCGCTCCCCTCCTCTCAGACCGCCCCCAATTTCAGCCCTCTTTCCACATCTACCCTTACCGTCCCCCTCTCCTCTCTCTCTCTCTCTCCTCTCCTCTCCGCTTCCGAAACCCACCCAACTCAGGATCTCGGGTTCGCCTCAACGAGAGAATATTTCCCTTTCTCTCTCTCCTACTCCATCTCCACTCTCCTCATCTTTCTCTCTTTTCGTTCCTCCGCTCCGTATCCCGAACCTCCTCCCCTCCCCTCGCACCGTTCTCTCTTTGTTTTAGAAATTAGAACCGGATTACCGAATCCCCCTTTTCAGCTGCGCTGTTATTAACTATTACCTTTTAGCCGTTCACCCTCGCGCGGCCGAGTTGTACGAACGAGTTGTTCCTCCTCCCGGGCGGGGGGAGCAAGGGGGTGGGGGGAATTAAATCACTTTTATGGAACTTGGTATTCGCGGCCTCGATTCTTTCGCCCCGCGAATATAATAACGGGCCGAATTTTCGAATTTTCGGGGGAAGGAGGGGGAGGAGAGAAGAGGGAGGGGGAGAAAGGATACAAAAGAGGTAGGCGCGCATTTCCAGATTTTTACTCTTCTTTTCTGCAGGTTTATTTTGATCGATCGATCTCGGCCAATTTTCGCGTTATCTAACGATCGACCTTAATTAGAAGGCGGCGGGAATCCGCTCCGCTCGGAATGGCACGAGATACGGAGTTCCGTCTTCTTGCCTGAGCGAGGCTTTTTGTCGGATCCTCGTGAACACGCTCGACAAGGAGCATCAGCCGACAACGGCCGCGGTCTTATGATTTTTTTTCCCCCCTCCCTCCCTTTGCTCGAACCATGGGGGGACCATGCGACGCGACCAAGAAGAAGAAGAAGAAGAAGAAGAAGAAGAAGAAGAAAGAGGAGGAGAGGAGGAGGCGTCCGGGTCGACGACTCTCTCTCTCTCCACCTCTCTTTCTCCTCTCCTTCCTCCGCTTCTTCTTCCTCTTCTCTTGTATTCCCTCCGTCGTCGTCACAGTCGTCTTCGTCGTCGTATTCTCTCCGATGTCTTCATATGTACATCGGCCGATGATCGCCGATGGAGCCGCAGTTTACACAGTTGGCCAGGCGAGGTTACCTAATTATTTGTTGCCCGTTGTCGCCAATGACGAAACTCCTTGCCTGCCAGGTTATCATCCTACACCCACTCTTGTGTCTCTCCGGATCGTGAAATTTCCTCTCTCTCTCTCTCTCTCTCTTTCTCTCTGGGTTGAAGAATCATAGGCGAAGAGAAGAAGAGTGCTCACATTTCGGTGCTCCCTACCTTTTTCCTCTCCGCTTTTCTTTTTTATGTCTCGAAGGAGGGGGAGATTGATCGAAGACAGTTGGAAAGATATTCGCGCATATATACGTGTATATAGAAGCAGTAGTGGGGCGACAAGTACCTTTCGAGATTTACAGCGGTCGTATCGAAGTGCACCACGGGGAGGAAGGGTTGTGAAAGTCCTTTGGCCCTCGTCGACCGTGAAAAAACGTAAAATTCCGTGGCGTGGGATCGTGAGTTAAAGTATCTTTAATTATCGATTAATTCGGATTAATCTCGTTGCTGTAAATGTTTTGGACGAGATTTCAAGTTGGTCGACGTGTTTTCTCGTGGCGGGGGAAATGAAGATGCGAAAGGAAGATGCGATTCGATTTGATGCGCGTGTTTCTAGCGATTCTAAAGTGTTTTTTGTTTCTTTTTTTACCAGGAGTTTTAACATCCAGCGTTGTTACACGTTGATTTGAAAGCCGTATTTAAGGAACATCTTGTCGAGGGTAGTCCTTGGGGATGGTGGAGCAGGTACGATGGCTAACTGTATTACTGGCTGGTGCTCCATTGTCCCATTGTTTAATTTTATTTCGGTTTTGTATTGAGTAGTACCTGCCACTTTTAATTATTTTACTGCCGGTACCTGCCAGAGGTGTTAAGCGTTCTTTACACCTGAAGACAACCTTGTGTCTCCACACGGTCATTCATTTCGACTTTCCCTATTTCCATTCTTTCCTCCGTTTCACTCTCGAACCCACGCTCCAACTCTCGCTACAAACGTACGTTACGTTACTATATTCGAAACTACCCTCTTCCAAGTCTCGTCCAGGTGATACCCAGGTGATAGTTGGAAAAACTTGGAGGATCGATCGATTCGACCCATTCGTTCGCTTTGGAGATCAAGTGGAAATCGGATCAAGTGGTTTCAATAGAAAGGTCTTGGCAACGATTGATGTCAATTCGTTTGCTTGCTAAAATAATAGTTGGAACGGACGAATCATGACTGTTGTCGTCGTCGTCGTCGTCGTCGTCGTCGTCGTGAAAGGGAAGAAAAACTGAATCGATTTTGGCTTAATTAATTAGCGTCTCTCGATGACCGCGATACCTCGAGGAAATTTTTCCATCGATTGTAGAGATTGCGCTCGCCGTATCCGGATCTCAGCGAGGAAAACTGGAACTCTCGTTCGTTTGCCAACTGGGTTAGATTGGGTCGGGTGAGGTTAGGTAATTATATACCTTGGGCTAGTCGCGTGGGTACGACACTAAAATTACTCACGAATTTCCAACTAACGAGCTCCTACCTTTGGCGCCACGAGGTATCTCGTTTGTCTTCCCGGACAGATTTTCCGAAACCGCGGCATCGTCACCGAGCCTTCCGTCCTCCCGAATATAAAGATATTTTCGCCTAACAGATCGTTTAGCGACACTTCAACACGCAGAAACATCGTCCGCCTCTTTGCCGAATTAATGTTTCGCGCTCGCCTCTCCAACTCATCTTCTCCGTAGTTCGCTTATTTTTCGAGTCCCAACTGACGTTCTATCATCGAACATTGAGGATATTCGAGGGAAATTCGAGGGAAAAACGTATTCAGGAATCGAGGTGATCGTCTCGAGATTTTTGTCGAAGAGTAAAAGAGAAAAATTCGAAGCGAATATTCGCACTCGCTTATTTTTCGAATCCCAACTGACGTTCTATCATCGAAGGATATTCGAGAGAAATTCGAGGGAAGAAGGTATTCAGGAATCAAGGTGATTTCGAGATTTTGTCGAAGAGTAAAAGAGAAAAATTCGAAGCGAATGTTCGCACTCGCTTATTTTTCGAGTNTCAACTTTTGACGTTCTATCATCGAAAGATATTCGAGAGAAATTCGAGGGAAAAAGATATTCAGGAATCGAGATGATCGTCTCGAGATTTTTGTCGAAGAGTAAAAGAGAAAAATTCGAAGCGAATGTTCGCACTCGCTTATTTTTCGAGTNCCAACTTTTGACGTTCTATCATCGAAGGATATTCGAGAGAAATTCGAGGGAAAAAGGTATTCAGGAATCGAGGTGATCTCGAGATTTTGTCGAAGAGTAAAAGAGAAAAATTCGAAGCGAACACTCGAAGCGTGTTTCTTTCGAGGGAATGATTCGCGGTCGATTCATTTCCGGTGTGTGAACTCGTTTTTTCGTTACGCGTCCACGGACCGAGAGGATCGTCCACCTTTGTTCCCTCATCGGATCTCGTGTAGCGCAGAGATTTTATCTGGCGAAACAGCGGCACTTTGGCCGTGCACGGGAAGAAGATAACCGCGCGCGCGCGCCGCCGACACCGGCCCTCTCCCTTCCTCTTTCTCTCGCTCTCTTTTCGACTCAACAAGTGGACCGATGTTTTCGGCACGGTACATAGTCGGCGGAGAGCCAGAGAGCCATCATCCACCCACACTCGTAGCACCGCTTGTCGTTGCTACACGAGTGCCGGCTTGTGCGGGCAAAAACGCTGGCCCTTCGCGCTAGGGGTTGCTTCCTGTGAGCCGAGCATCGGTGAGACGAGGCGAGGGGAGGATAAACCGAAACGCTGCAGGCCCGACCATTGCACTTCGCAGGGAGAGGAGAGGCCCGTGCCTAGCGACAGCTTCGACGATTCTTGTAACATCTCGAGCCCAACCGTTTTTAATAATCGTCCAACGATCGTCGAAAGTACGAAGCGAAAGATCACCGCGTTAGGAAGAGTTGTAAAATTCGCGCACGAGTCTCGAGATCGAGAGTTTTCCATACGAGAGATTTTTTTTTACGTTTCGAATAAAATTTTCGAAGAGTTTTTTTTTTTTCCTTTTTAGAAATCCGAGATACGAGCATTCCAGAGATGGAAAAAAAAACCGAGAGATGGAACGGAAATATCTGTGATGTTAATCGATGTTTCTCGTGGAAAATTATTTCAGAGAAAGATCTCGAACAGGAATTTGTTCGCATACTCGGTGGAAAGAAATTCAAATACCCATCGCTATCCGCGCGCGTCGAGCCATGGAGTAGTGGGGAGCAGGCGAGCGAATAAGTGGGGGGAGACGTAGACTCGTACGGAAGGGGAGTGGTGGGGTGACTGCCTCCCTTCGGGAAGCGTCAGTCTCGTCGCGTACCGTGAACCGAGAGGAGGTTGTGTCGATGCTGCTCATCTTCTTTCTTCGTTCATATCCCTCCGTCTCTTTTCGATCTCCTTTCCTTTCCACACTTCTCGTGTGACTGGAACGGTGAAGTACAAAGTTTGTGATCGTTTTGGTGTCGTCGAGTGTTCGGGTGGACGTAGTGCGCAATAACGTGGCTCGGAACTTGGTGTTCTCGAAAGTTTCTCGTAACCGTATAATCCGTGGATACGGTATAATCGCGATACCGAGCGTGATAGTCGAGTCTCGCGACCGTAGCAGAAACAGGTGTTCGAAGGCTGATCGAAAAGCGACGCCACGCGAACGATGGTGCGGAGGCGGGCGGGTGAATCGTAGTGCGGCTACGCGATGCGTCCTCGTGGCACGCGGCGTCGGTGACTCGAGTCCTCGTCTCGCCGTAAAAACATCTCTCGTTGTATTATTTTTGTTTGCGTCCGGCTCTATTCGTAGACTGTATCCGCGTGTTTACCGATGCCCGAGAAATCTATAACGCGTAATACGTTCTCCGGGAGGAGTATTTATAACGTTGATCGTAGTTGATATGCTTGGAAAAGTTTGTACGTGACGCGAGTTGTTTCTTGTCTCTTCGGTGGAATCGTGTTCACAATTTCCGGCTCGTATATCGCGATCCGACGGTGTGTGCAGATCGCTGGCTTCGGTTCTTTGGACGATGAGAGCGATAAACGTTCTGCATCGAGACGCGATCATCGCCGAGATTTGATACCGAACGAGACCGTGGCGGTGGTGGTGGTAGTGGTGAATCGTCCACGTTGCCAGAAATTCGTCGTAACCGCAGAATGCAGTCGAACACGATACTGCGCGATGTCGTCAATACCGAGAAGATGATGGGAAACAACAACAATCTGAATAACAACGGTTCCCCGGGCACAGATATAATGTTCCAGATGGAAGATGATAGTTTGACGCAGTTGGGAAGCGTTTTTCAATCGGCCTATCAATCGATCGTTGGAGGTAGCGCTCAGGTAAGAGAGAATTAAATAAACGGATCATGGTCGTGTTTGTCCGTTATCGATCGGTATCCTCGTGTCGGTCGTATCTCGCCGTTACGGTTCGCGATCGGAGTTGGCCCGGAAGAAAAGTTTCGCCGTAGCTGAGAAAGAGTTTCTCTCGCTCGTCGGGGATGCTCCGATTCCGTTCCGTTGGAAAGGGTAGACCGGATGCGCCAGTTGGAAACGAGTTCCTTTCAATCTCCAAGTCTTTTACGGTGCACGGAGTTTCCCTGTAAATCCGATTGTACGTCGATTGAAAATAGGGGCACGTTTACGATTTTCTCTGTATATCCGACGGAGCGTGCGGAGCACGCCATCGGTCCGCTGACGTCAGGATTACGTCACGAACATGGCCGTCGTCACGTGGGCGGGCACGTCGGTCGTCGTTCCTTCTTTTCGAGCCGGCACCCCTTTTCTTCCTGAACGCACGAGATCAGCTCTGAAATTTGTAATTTTCTTCCGCGCTCGAAATTTATACAGTGTTGTGCTTTAGTATTTTTTCGTTTTTACGTGTAATACGCGTAAATTCGAGCGTCGTTAGCTCTCTCTCTCTCTCTCTCTTTCTCTCTCTCCCCTCTCTCTCTCCTCTCTCTTTCTTTCTCGAGATGGGAAGAGGGATTTTATAACGGGTATATACACACGGCAATTGGTCCACGATTATCTATCTCTGGAAAGACAGTCGTTGTAATAAAGCGACATAGAATATCAGTAACTCGGCAAAGGAACTCGTCTATTTCGACTCGTATGGCAGCAGTGAGTCATCATCATCCCTGCATTGTTTCGTTAAATGGAATTTCTATCTAATTTAAATGCGGCTTAGCCAGAAATAATGCGATTACGCGTTAGCTTATTCTGTTTGTTAATCTCCTTTGCACACCATTGTCACCCTGACGGTGAATGAGGCAGAGGTAGAACGAGGCTGGGCGAGGGAGAGAGAGAGAGAGAGAGAGAGAGAGAGAGAGAGAGAGAGAGAGAGAGAGAGAGAGACGAGGAGGGAACCTCGATGTTCCGCGTACCCTCCGCACTTCCCTCCACTTTGCCGTTTTGTACGGCACTGTACATTATTTCAGTACAGTCCACACACAGCCGCTAGATCCTCTCTGGCTTTATGGACTGGTCGCAGCGGTTCTCCTTTTCCAGTTGCAACTTTAATTTCTCCTTGTTGATCACACAGTTTCCGGAACTTGCGTCGTTTAATCGATAAATCTCCTCCAGTTGCTCGTGGAACGCAACTGTGCCCGTTGCGCGTCGAGGATTCTTGGCGGATTCTTCGCGGATCCAGATCGATCGGACGGTTTTCTTTCTCTCTTGCGTACGGTGTTGCGCAATCGCCACGTTCGCGACGTTGCAATTTTTGTCCCACGACCCGTTTTCGCCTCTCTTTCGGCACTCGAGCGGCTTATTAGCGGTACAAAAGCGACGCGATTACAAAAGACGAACGTCACTACACGAGACAACAGGTTGCCTCGGCTAGTCTCTCTTACCTGAATGACGTTAGATCGACAGCTGCCGGTCCCATTATTCCTGAAACTTTTGCAATAGCTTCTCCAAATTGGCAATTACAGGAGAGAAAGAGGGACAAAGAAAGAGAGAGAGACGGTGATTGGCGACCAACGTATTCAAATTCGTATTAGATACGCGTGCGATTAAGATCGAAGTAAAAGTTTATCTCGTCCCGAGTTTATCGAGATCGGTGACGCATAACTTGGAAAAAATAGGGGCGATAACAACCTGACAAATTTGTTAGAATACCGTGTTTATCGCTCGTCGATATCCAAGAGGAAATTGCTCTTTACTTCGTTTTTGTTCTTTTTCACTTCTCTCTTCTTCTTCTTCTTCTTCTTCTTCTTCTTGTTCCTTCTTTTTTTTTTTTTGTTAATTCTCCCCGCGATCTCGATTTCGAGCGTCTGGTGAAACCAGTTTTTGATCGGACCGAGGTAAGGCCGGCCATTTCCGGTCCGTGCCCCTCCCTCCATCCGTGGTTCATATCCGGTACGGCACTTGCAACGTTTGAAACGTTGAGCTCTCTCGGGTACGTACGCCGCTCTCGAGAAGCTTTTTTCCGGGCTTTGTCGGGCGTAAAATCTTGGCCGAGTCATCGTCGGTGGAGGAGGCGGCGGCGGCGGCGGCGGCCACTTAAAAATACGACAACAAAAAGCGGTGCGTTCGTTATGAAAGCGTTATCTCTCTTTGGGCCAGACTTAATTAGCCGCGAGCGCGCGTGCGTTCATTTTTCCGCTAAAAGCAGGAGTTGCAATTAACCGTTTAAATTAGAGGCTCGTTGGCCGCGGTAAGTGGAATATCGTTTCGTAATCCGCACACCGATGCTTATCCCTCCGCGTTACCTTTGATCGCCCCGTTTTCTTTCCCCAAACGTATCGCTCTCGTTTTACGCGGATGATTATCTCTCGCCATCTTTTTTCCCCATCGTTCCGTGTCTGCGTTTCATTATTACGTTGAATATGCTGGCGTCGCGCGAAGAATGGAAAGAAAAATGATAGATGAGAGAAAGAGAAAGAGAGAGAGAGAGAGAGAGAGAGAAAGTTGGCCGTGGCATGGACGCAACATGAAAGAAGAGAATGAGAGAAATGAGAAAGCGAAAGTGTTGCGCGCTGGTCGATGGCGCGGTGGCCCTAAGCCAGTGTGCTTTCAACGATTCGATTAAAACGAAAATTCGAGCACAGGAAGGGATATATGTCGTGAAAGCAGTCCGGAATCGGACCGATTTTACGAGCTATCGAGCCGTGATCGTTGTCAGAAAAGCGGAGTCGTTCGACTTGCAGGAGGTCGGCGTAATTGCCGCTGAAAACCGGGGATTAAACGAAACCGACAGGCGCCCGTTACGCCGCCTCGTTTTCACCTGTCCGTCCACTCGGTTAACGACGATGCGACTCCTCGAGAGACGAGAATTTTACGCGAATCGGGACACGTACGGGCGCGTAAACGCTCCTCTTAACTGAATTAAGAGGACGTGCGAACCGTTCGGTGTTTGGAATAACTCGATACGGGAAAGGAGGAAATCGCGAGGAGATTGGTTATCGAAGTAGATCTTGAGAGTGAGAGTCACTGGCGTCGCGAGGGCTAGGTTAAAAGCGGCAATGAATAGAATTGATATAAATGGGACGGCGACCTGGCTCCGGTCTCGAAGCTGATTGTTTTTTCTTTCCCCTATCGTCGAATTGGCCGACAAGTGCCACTTTATTACTGCGACCAGTACGTTTTCGAGCTTTTGCCGAACGATGCCTCGCCCGTACCGTTGGCAAAGAACTCTCTCTCTCTCTCTCTCTCTCT